TGCACCCTAAACGTCCAGTTCTCCTTTAACAATGAAATATATCGTCAAAAGGATGGTATAGCTATGGGCTCACCACTAGGCCCTCTGCTTGCGGATTTCTTTATGTCGAAACTCGAAAACACTTGCCTAAAGAATATGATTGACAACTTTGAACTCTACAAGAGATACGTCGATGACACCATCTCCAACAACGAAGAGAATTTAGAAGATATCTTGAAGTTCTTCAACAACTGCCACCCTGCGATTCAGTTCACACTAGAGAAAGAGTCTAACTCAAAGATATCTTTTCTTGACGTTCAACTAACGAGACGCCAACAAGACGGAACATTAAAAAGATCCATCTACAGAAAGCCAACGTGGAACGGACAGCTCACTAACTCCCACAGTTGGGTGCCTCTATATACTAAACGAAACCTAATCCGTTCATTAAGCCACAGAATACGTAGAATTTGCAGCCTGGACGCCATAGAAAATGAAATGAACACTCTTAAGAAAATCCTCCTTGAAAATGGCTATCCAGAAAGATTTATCACAAAATCAATGAAACCCAGACCAGAGAAGCCGCCCACACCCAGTGCTCCAAAAAGACTTCTCTATATGAACCTACAGTTCAGTGGAGACCAATCTACAGAAATAGTGAGAAATCGGCTCTCCCGCTCATTGAAGAAAACCTTCTTTGCAGCTGAATTACGACTGACGTTCTCCACGAGACCAGTGATTCGTATGAACGTGAAGGATAAGCTACCGCTGTTGGCCTCATCTATGTGCATCTACCAATTCACCTGCTCATGTGGAGCCAGGTATATCGGCCATACTCAGCGTTCGCTATCCAAACGCGCCAATGAACATTTACCTTCATGGTTTTGTAAAGCAGAAAACCGATGCCCCCGCAGCTCGATCCTTGAACATTTGATCGACTCTGGACACCAAGTCAAACCACAAATAAACTTCAAAGTTATCTACAGAATGCAAGGCAATCTTGCTAAAAGTGTACGGATCAAACTTCTCCACATCGCAGAAGCAATGGCAATTCATCTACTAAATCCTGAACTCTGCATACAAAAGAAATTCGTTCATTCATTAAATCTACAATGGACGTAATCTTTCTTAATTTCAGTCTCACTAATTGTATTATTTTGTCTTTTGCATTTTATTATTCCACATCTTCATTTGTATTATTCTCTACCACACCCTTTTGTAGTCTCTACCCTCATTAACAATGTCGCTAACTCGACCCACGTCCAATTTTTAGTCAACTATATTACGTCATCCGATTAACTTACTTAATTTTCAACTGTATTATTCTCTACCCCCACCCTTATTTAATTTTAACCACCACTCATTAACACTGTTGTCAGCCTGATCTACTCTGAATTCTACTCAATTGTATTACGTCATCCAATTCACTTAATCAATTTTATTTTAATTTCTATCTAATTAACGTTTGTTTCCAAGCCTTCTTATACTTATATTACGTAATTATCTAAACTTTATAAATCTATTGTACACACACACAAACAAAATTGTATATAAATGCGATTGCACAGCTCAGTGAATGAATTCGCCGAAAAGAGTCTCTTCGCTGAACGCCTTCTCTTCTTTCATGTAATGACAAAAATTGAGGAGAAGGATCATGAATTAATTCAGTCAATTTGCTACAGTTTGTTTTTGATACGGGTAAATTTCGATAGGGAGGAGATCATACTAAGATTACTGAGTTGAAGATTATTCCACAATTAATTTATAAAAATAAGTGTTTTACTTCATAGCTGAAATGTGGTAGTGTGAGCGTGATCATGAGCTACCTTGGTTGTAGTAACTCTGACTTCTTTTTACTAATCCTGTGAATGCTATAGAAAATCTCTTCAAAATGTCTCGTGACATACTGTTGATGTTATTATAGTTCTGACTCAAAATATGACTAGTGATATAGTTCATATCCTGCTGGTTGAATAGCTTATTAACCAACTATGTATGTTGGTAAGCTTGAGGACACCCTTTGCCAATAGATGAGATAAATCAACAAAATGTAGCAACAGAAAGACGAACAGTGGTATTGTATAAGATCTTTAATCAAACAACCTCCGTATCCTGTTCGGATATCAAGCATACTGCATCGCATATCAATCCATCATAATGAGTCTTTCATTTATTTTCATATGTTTGCAAGAGATGGATAAGTATTTGAGTTATCGGCTATTCTAAGTTTCAATACTCATCAATCCACTGATAAATCATGTCTCTTGAAAATCTTCATTCAGAAAAACGGTAAGTGTGTTATTGTTTCTTACAATCTGATGGCATTTATTACTAAAAATTCGATGAATATATATTTCATCCGTAAAGTGCACTTTTTGCACTGATTAACATCATACGATTCTCTGAACATTTTAAAAATCCAAACAACCTTGAATGTTTACCTAAATTTCCAGTTGCTTCTCCACACTGTTTGTTCATAAATAACACAGAATATGTGCCGATATATTTAAGTCTATCATTTACTTTCATTGTGTATTGCATAAACTTCTCATAATTTTTGGTATATGTGTTTAGTGCCGTCAATAACAAAACTTTTTTGCGATAATAACATTTAGCTCACCTTGTGACCTAAATAAACTGAATTTTTGTTTACTGGATAAATTTTACTGTAACATAAATTATTTGGATTTTCGCTTAAATTATTTCAACAAAAATTATCGGCGTATACTTATGTAAGTTACTTTGGAATGTCGAATGAATGAATGAATAAACCTTGTTTGGTGGTAGTTAGCAGTAAAATACAAGGCGCGGATTTCGTCCTATTTGGGACTCTTCATTTGGTCATACTTGCTGCCCAGACAGTAGTAGTGTCCCCATCGAGATTCAAGCCCAGGTTACCAAGGCACCCATACAACGAAATGAGGCTAATAAATTTGTCCAGATATATCAATTGGATATTACAAGTGTGAATGAATATAATGAATCATTTAGGGAAGATAGATGTGTGTAATATAATATTGAGACACATATTACAGATAAAAGAAAATCTCAAGCCGGTTGACATGATACATACCAGATAAGAGTTATTATGTTTAAGATAAACTTGCTGTTAAGTGGTACAATAAACTTTTAAAAATTTTTACTTTTTCTGTCTTGGTGTGTGTAATAATTGGGGTCGCTGCAGAGTTAATGTAGGACCCCTATCAGTTTCAAACATTTTACACTTTTATAATCCTTCCACTTTCCACGGAGTGGAATTTATGACGCTGCTTATCAGAAGACCATACTTTGACCATACCTCACTGTCTGTGAGAATACGTGAATTTTGTACTTATACGTTACTTGCGATCCGAGAGAAACACAGGACTTCAAGCTTTTAAGATATCAGTAACTAGTGGGTTTCTAGCCTCATGCTCAACGTCTTCTCTTTCGAGGAATTACTATAGGCCAGTAAACCAGATGAATTTTATCCGTTAATCCACAAGGAATCGAACCCTTCACCACTAAGTGATTATGTGGTGAGGGATGGCTGCTAGCCAAATTGGTAGACAGTAATTGACGTCAATGTTTATGTATCAAATATTAGTCATGTGAAAACAAGATCAAAGACAGACAGCAGACTTTGCGTAGATGGATACAATTACCAGATAGATGATCTGACACTCAAGAGACAGCAACAAAGAGATGAAAGATTAACTTTTAGTGAGAAACAAACAATCAGAAAACTGTGTTTGTCAGCTAACAATTATCTATAATAATGTACACGAAAATCTATAAATATGTGTTGATTTCCGTAATAAACAGTCTGTTGCCTGACTCTTGCCTTCTGTCGTTACAATTAGAAACCATTCTTCCAGTAAATCACTGATATAAACTGTTAAGAATCCTGTTTATTTCATGAACGTCCGTAAACTAAAATCTGCTGAAATCTTTCACACACCTAAAAATAATCAGATCATAAGAGGGTTTCACCATGTTGAATATTTGTTTTATCCAATTATTAATATGACAGTGTGCAATAAGATACATAATGTATGAACCCATAGCCTAATGCATTTATATTAAGATAGAAATTTCATTTAAAAGTTAAACGTGTTATACCCATTTCCACAAAACCTCTGAGAAGATTTTGCCTTCAGTAAGTGGCGTGCTAATAGAACTTCCGTAATGTGCAGTAATAATAAGCTGAATGAGTGGAAAGAAGTCAGAGTTACTACAACCAAGGTAGCTCATGATCACGCTCACACCATCACATTTCAGCTATGAAGTCAAACACTTATTTTTATAAATTAATTGTGGAATAATCTTCAACTCAGTAATCTTAGTATGATCTCCTCCCTATCGAAATTTACCCGTATCAAAACAAACTGTAGCAAATTGACTGAATTAATTCATGATCCTTCTCCTCAATTTTTGTCATTACATGAAAGTTGATTCTAAAAACAACACAAACTTCCATTCGGAATTTACACTGAGATAATACAGTAACGGTAGTGGTCACATCAACAGACAAACTTAATCATATGATTCGAATGGAATTCATGACTGCAAATTCCAAAACTGAATACACTACATACAACTCTGTAAACAACAGAAGTTGTTTTAACACACAGGCACACAGACAGACGGCATATTTGTGTTTGAAGAAGCCTACCTAATATTCATTATTTCATTCATACATTCATTTAACACAGTCCAAAATACTTCCACTCCACACCAGCTGAACACATCTCTCCTCCCCCCTCCTTCGCAGCATAATTTCATACAGTCGAAATGATGACATTTTGGACAAAAATAATAAAAACAAATAGGGTCAGTTTATGAACTTGGAGAGAGAGAGCGGAGAGAGGGAGAGTATGTAACAATCGTCCATGTAGAGTATGAAAACGGTAGAATGAAACAACAACAACAACAAGAACTAACAAGGCCTGCAATATTGGTTGTGTTTGTTTCAAAATCATCACTGGGAGACTATAAATACTCTCGATATTTGTCTAACTACCATGTTCACATTGATATTTACTGACTGGAAAATACAAGCAGAGAAATAAACAAATTTTTCTACGAAGTTTCTGAGTAAGACATGAAAGTTTTATTTGTTCTTCTCGTTCTCATCCAACTGAAGGATGTGATGTTAGACGTGAATCAGAATGATAGTAACGATAATTCTGATAATGCGGAAAATATCAAGTCATTGAAATCTGCTGTGTTCTATAAAGCTGTTAATTATCTATCTAATAAAACGTATGAGAATGAAGTGAAAGTTTCGTTTTTATCCATGCCATATAATGTTTACTACACACATATTTTCATGGCGTTTAGAGCAGCTGACAGTCAATTATCCACTGTAAGTTAGCATATGCTTACGATTTCATCTTAATTTGAAATGTCTAATGCACGAGTATACACACCTAATTTTTCATGTTTCTATGACAAGAACAACACGAAAGATTGTGAATCAGTTTCACTTACTTCTTCTGTTTTTTTTTTAGGTGAGCTTAAGTGGTGATGGTCCGGATAGTGAGGTGAATGGTGTAAATCTGGTTTTAGCTTTGCGCAAATTAGACCACATGTATGCACCTCATCCTATAACATTTATACTGGATTTCGTACGAGGATGCTACAACTCGATAGCAGGTGAACATCGGAATAACACATTCATATCGATTATGAGGTATGGCGACGATGGAACTATCACCCGTGGATTGATTAGTGCTACAAGTGAGAAGTTTTTAGAGCATAAAACGGCTGGTTCCCATCACTACCTCTGGGAAAAACGATCAATATCTGTGAGTGTTTACAATAGAATTGAATGACGTCTTTCTTTGTATTGGTTTCTTGAAATATTGCGGTTGTGTTGTTTTGTTATTTGTAAGAATGTCTTGAGTTGTAGTGTTTCTTTCTTTCTCACTCAATAATAATCATTTATAGTATATATTTGAGTGTGTCATCCCATCAGTTGAATAACTTCGACGTCATGAATTCATGTAATTGTGTCAATTCATACTGTGAAATCCGGGAATCCTATGAGGAATATCTGGGATTCTTAGTGGTGGAGAACGGCTTCGAATCTGATTAGGATGTGTCAGTAAGCCTACCTCTTATCTACCCTATTTGTGAAGAACAGATTTCAGCGAAGTAATTTGGACGAAGTGCCACCTGCTACTTTTTATGTTCATTCGACCAGAATCAGTTTGTGTAGTGTCAGACGAACTTTCTGGATACCAGGGTCAAATGTTTGGTTTAAGGTTTTATGTCAGTTTTGGTGACTGCCTCACGGAGAAGCGAAGTCGTTTCCTCCTTCGAAAGCATAGATGTGTAGAAGTGGCATCACAATGCATAGCAGAAATATTGGTATTCATTTTTGTAGATTGTGTGTTTTCAGATCGGTACCTCACTTGACCTCATTTCTTGATTCAATCTTGTCATTTGATGCACGTGTGTGGCCATAACACTGTAGTAAAAGTAAATATGTCGTAGCTGTTTGTAAAATTGCAAACTGTAATTGGTTGGATTTCTGCCATTTTGCTAAGCATGTCTGCTTGTTTGCTAGTCTACTTCCAGTGGATTGATGCAAGAGCCCAACATAAATGATGACTAATTTTCATAATGCATCAGTCACTTCAAATATTTTTTATTTTTTTATTTTGATTACAGCTTGATTCCACACCATATTTTCAGTACAAGTATGGAATTTTCAGCATGGATATCGGTAGCCCAAATTTACAGGCCGACCATAGATATCGGGTGTGCGCCGGCAGGGGATCGAACCCCGGACCACGTGCATGGTCGGCGAGAGTCCTAACCAGGTGGATAATATTTTGAGCCTGTCACCCATACTATGATTCTCTAACTGATCAGAAAGCTGATTACTGTGATAAGATGTCAGGGAGTTCAGCATTGTGAATACAGTGTTGTTAGTTTGATGGAGTATTTGACTCCTATGTCATTTCAGCCGCTAGCTGTCGTCTTCATCTAGAGTGTGAGTCAATTCAACTAGATAATATTTTCGTTTCTCACTTCTCTGGTCGAGGTGTCAGATTACACACTGAACAAAAATAGTTAAGGGAAGCCTACATGAACTTTCATTGCATCGTATCAACTTTTAGTTATTCTTGCATCATTAAAGTTTCATTCTTCGTCTTATTCTTTGCATTCATCTCCGTTTGACTAACATTTGTAAAACAGTGACTGATATGGTCTTATTATATTTTACAGAATTCATTTCTGGAGTTAAACAGTTATGTTCCAGTGACAAACATCTCTGGTGGTGAGTCTGGACAAAGTCTTTGTGATTGGCAGAGAGTTGGACTGGCGCGTGAATTTGCAGATGACCAGACCTTGTATGTGTTACACAATCCACTCTGAAAGTTTCGCTTGACCAATCTCCTGCATGAAAATATCTGATTCTACTTCAAATGACTGCTAAATACTTTTTCAATCATTTCTACAAGTTTATTATCTAATCAACTACATTTAAACCTTGAAAACCGAAATAAAAATACTTTTCTGAATGTTGGCGTTTTGTTCATTATGAAGTGGAGTGGAGGGATATCTTCCACTGATATCTGTCCACTAAATCTTCAGTGAGATATGGAGTGGATGATGTGCATGTTATTATTCAGTGATAGTTAGGAGAATCTTGAAACCCTTCTTGATTGAGGGATTATAGCATAGTACGTTTTGTTGAGTGATCTCGAGCAGAGGGAGGAATACAATTTGTGCATCGTGATGTGATATCTTTCTGTTTATTCGGTTGTTGTCAAAACCATATATTCTTTGCTAATTTTAAACCTTTATTATGAAAATTTAAGTATAGTGAGAGATGCAGTGACTCTCTTGTTCATTAAATACCTTAACTGATTTAGAATGTCATAGTTATGTTCACTCTCTACCGTATGTTGAAGGTTTGGATTGTTCGAAGTCCTCGTATTTTTGGAGACAGTTTCTGTGGAGTGTGTTTAGACATCCAGTGACAAATTATGGTGTATATGGTTTGAGCAGTACACGTTAGTTCGTATGTGCATTTGGTAGTAACCTGAACGAGGGACTGAATGTCTGTGAATTCTCTCAGTGAGCAACCCACTTAGTAGAGTGTAACTAAGCTCAAAGGTAGATACTTTGTGTTTAGTGTAGCATTTATATTACATTTACTCATTCTCAAGGTCAGTAATGCAATCTTTATCCCAAATCGACATCTAGGGTTCTGTGAACATGCACACTTATGTGCTTAAAGTGATATGAGTTATATATGGCTCGACATGATTCCTGAGTGAAATTTTCAATGTAGATATGATAGTTTATTTTCGAAACCAATAAAATATGGTAGATATATAGCATAGCGGAAGCTTGACATTGAAGAAAGAGACAACCTGTGGATAAATAAATGAAGAGAATATATTTAGCATTCGGTAGAAATGGTTAACGAAACCGAAGGAATACTATAATTCGCTACTCTCAGATTAACTGACGATTTATAATTGACACAGTTCGAGGTGAAATCTCACCAACTCCCTTCAGATTCACAAAGTTTTCAGACCACATTGTGTGATCTGCTTGTCACCATAGATAGCGATCAAGAGAGCCAGAGTAGATTGATTGATTGACATGATTAGGTGGTCAGCGCTAACCTCGAACTGTGCAACTGGCAAATTGCAAATATGATTCGATGTTTTATTAGTTTATCTAGGTGACTATCCAAAATTCTACTGGTTTGAAGTCATTCTGCTCTTTGATCTCAGTCAAACCGGATAAACCGCTGATGAGCACAGCCCCATAAACGAGTGTCTAGATCACTTCGATCTGGTTAGAAAGCACAACTGATTGATGTGAATGGTGTCTGACTATCTGTGTAAGTCGATGTGTTGTATACAGCGTTAGGAAACAAAATGCTTCCTCCATATGCTGGAATTCATAGAGCAGATTCCATAATGGATAATAAACAGATTATGCTCAGCCTGAAGTGGTCAATAGGATACAGTTTACTGATAGAAGTAGGCGTGAAATATTTATTGTGAGTATCGACAGTATTTTCTAGTTGGATTAAGAAATGATTAACCAACCTAATACTTACTGGAATTCTTGCACAAAGTCATGCAGGAACCACAACAAGTACTGTAGTAGTGATTTCGTAATATGACAACAGCCAAAATGCAGACATTTAGTCGGACAAACGGTATTTATATTCAAAATACGATTGTTCGATATATTCTTCGAGAGAACTCAAGTACACAGTATTAATAAGGGTGCAATTAATTATTGTCAGATAGACGAGAACAACTAATGGAAATGGGGAAACGAATCATGAATCATGCATGCATGTATACAAATAAAAGCCAAATAAACAATTTGGGGTGCCTCATTGTTTCATGAACGCATTAGTTGAACGACAGTAAGAACATTTCCTAAACAGCACAGTACTCTATTGAATACGCCAACCAACAAAGTTTCTATTAGCCTGGTTAGAACAAGTAAAATGTTGTCTGTAGCCATGGTCCTCAAGAAGCGATAATGCCTAGACTAATAAAGCCACAACTGAAATTTTGACTTATGTAAAACAGTATCACTGAGGAATAGACTGTATTAGATATACCTTAGGGACCACTGACAATAGGAAGCATACTGATTTTGAAATATAATATATAATGAATCGCATAATCACAATTAATAGACGGTAGTCACATAAATAGCGATAACAGCATAAGTAGGCGTAAGTGACAATGCAGACAACAGTTTTTTACTCCTAAATTTATGCTTTCCTATGCATAAATATTGCACGACAGAGGGAAGGTATATCGCCAATATATTTCTTGTGACATATATAAACATGGGAACTGAATGCAAATGATTTAATGAGACCATTATCAATGAAATTTTGCTAATCGGAGTAGTGAAGGCGGTAAGTGAGTTAGCACCACGTGCTGTAACTGGAACTCTGTTCCAAATGATTCAGAATGTTCATAAGAAGACTCTGGCCTGCAGATCTGTTTGACAATATTTCATTGCAACAAGAATTTCCTGATTTCTGCTGTTATAGTTGAATTCTGTGGTGAATTTCTTTCCAGAGTAAGAGATGTGTAACGGGTGACTGATAAACTCGAATCAAGGGATCAGGTTTATCTTAGACTTCTTTTCGCAGAGAAATAAGGACCTCATTTTTTACAACACTCTTCATAGTCTGTCTAGGTTGCATTCTGAACCAGCTGTTATAAATGTAGAATATTGTTGAACTCTCTTAGTTTTATTGTTCTCACTAGTTTGAAATGCGCTCAAAATGAATAGAAAAAGTAGCGAAAGCAAACGAGAATAGATTTTGTGTGGGAGTACACTCGTTTCACGAAAGTAATTCTGAGTGAAACATTCTTCAAACCTCCGTGTATTATCTTCATTACAGCTTTTGTTCAGGGGACTTCAAATCAGCACATGAGATGAGTGATGATTACCACTGTTGCACTGCCTGTCGACCACTGTTTCTGTTATATTATTCCTTAGATACATGATGCAAAAGTAGTGCTGAATACGAATTTTTGACTTCTTTGGTGGATGATAACTTTGTCAGTAAAATCTTTTGATGCTTTTCATTCCTCTATGTAGTATGTGTGGGATTTAACTTGTTTATTCCGAACAAATATAATACTCGTTATGATTCGCTTATTTTAATGCACATGAGATCGGAGACTCACTTTGTAGTGTATCCATATACCATTATTTGTAAGCTGCCATATTTCTATCACTCACAGACTAACTTATGATTTTCCGATGGAAAATAAGAGAAGGAAAATGAATTCCTTCAAGACTGCGTATATACCTTACTGACAAGTGCCAACTAGCACGAAACCTAGGTGCAAGGCTTCCTGCCAGTTGCCTCCAACCATCTAATAATAAGTTCAGCGTGATGACGAGCTATGTAAAATGTTGGCCACACTGCAGAAGTGACTGATAGAATTCAGTCTGCACCAAAGAAAGGACTAGACACATCATACTAGTTACTAACCAGCGTCCAATCAAAGTGACTGATTGAAGTATACCAATCAATTTTCTGGATTGGAAATTACTCACTCGAAATTCCATTAGCTGGCCAACAATTCACTCAAATAAAAAATTCTATGTAACCACGATGCTTCGGTTGAAGCGGACAGTGCAAAACACGTTGTGAGGCCTTTCGAACTCTCAAAACACTCAGTGAACTAGATTTTGGACACGCGTTCATTCACATGAATTCGAATCACCCGGTAACATATCTTATCTCAACCACTATTCATGAGTGTTTTTCCACTGCTTGTCACATGTTTATTATGATTACTAGATGTCTTGGCCTCCAATATTAGTCATCCTGTGTGGGAGAAGCGCGACTCATCCAACTCACTGACATGCTATTCGTGAGCAACATACTAACAGAGCTAGAGAGGTTAGAATTCATAGTATTCACATTAGGCACTGACTGGTATTGGTATCAGGTCCATGAATTCCGAATTCTACCACTTCGCGTTATGTGGAGCAGCTAACAGCCTGAAGCTTCGTACTGTGAACACCTGCAGAAGTGATGGTTTTAAGGCATTCATAGAACAAAACAGTTTGAGGCATTTGAAGAAGAATATGGTGTACGTGGTTATTCATTAAATTCTGTTGAATGAATAACATGTTGGACTTTAGAAAACTAGGAAGTGAATCTCTATGGAAATTCAAGTTGGACGATTTCTAACAGGGAGAAAGTTACTTTAATATCCTAAATGTCAATCGAAATAGGAAAAAAACCTGTAAGACTTTGATCTGTCGACACAGTCTACTATCATGTGCCAATGTTTGGAATTTTGCTCTGATAATGATTCGGAATTTGTCTCTATTACCACATGATTTCTTAGAGGGTGACTTATTCATTTCATTTGTAACAGAGAAACATTTTATTGAACAAAAAGGACATTTATTTAACATTTACAGTATACTGAATGAACTTTTAATTCCCGTTCAGGTTGTAGTGACCCGTTTTATTACTCATCATCGCAGTATACTTTCATTGTGTAATTGTACTTCGATTTGTTTATTACTCTAAATCTTGCATGTTAACAATTGATACTTTTTGTACTCGCTCAATTTTTGAATCTTGATTGCTGCAATAATACACTATCGTATTCCTTCGCAAGTGCCTTTTGAATTACGTTGCGGATGTTGAGTAATCGCAACGTTAGGTCACAATTATAAACGCGAAGAAATACTAGAAGATACGTGTACTCTAGTTCAGTCAAATATCAGCAGCAACAAGGTATTGGTAACTAGTCACAGATGCGAAATGAAAATTTGCTATCTCCCTGACGTAACATCATTTAATTAGCGTTTATGGTACACTAAAAAATACTGGCGGACAGGCTTAAGAGTATCTTTGATGCTAAACTTATTGAAAAAGTTATTTATTTTGACAAATTT